ATCCCTGGAGGATATCCCTGATCACTCATCCCTGGAGGATATCTTTAAGAGGAGCTTCACTTACTTTTGGAACATCAACTAAAATCACTTCATTTCAGTGCCATGAAGAAAAAAAAGACAGAGTGATGTAATCAAAATCGATGGTTTGGATGGTGACTACTTTAGAACGACTGGTCAGGGAGAGGAAGTGACTTTGGAGCCCAGATAAGAAGGCCCAGGGAGCAAGGATTACTTCAGCACAGACAGAAGTAAAGGGTTTGAGATTTTTCTGTTGCACAGAGGGACTTGGGGACAGACGGGGCAAGAGTGGGAGTGGGAGGAGAAGTGATCTGAGATGAGGTTTGAGGACCAGACGGGCCTGCAGGAGAGTGTGAACTCATCCTGCTTTTCTTTTGGGTATGATCTGATCTCACTTGGGTTTTACCTGGCTGCCTGGGGATATTGGAGGAAGATGCATGTCATGAGATGTGGTTGGATGAGAGGAAACTGTCCAGGTGAGGAGCACTGGGGACTGGTCCAGAGCGATGGGAATGGAGAGGTGGGTGGAGTGGGGTACATTTTGGAAGGACAGCCTAAATGTTCTGAAGGATCACATACAGGGTGTGAGAGGGAATAAGGCTGCCCTGAGTGAAGCAGGGGAAGAGGGAAGGGCCAGATTGTTTCATGCGGGCAGAAAACAGACTGTGGACGTGTTAAGCTTGAGATTCCTTTTAGATATCAAGGAAAAGGTATTTGGAAGGAGGCTCACCTTGATAATTGTGTTTTCACTGGGGAAGTGGGGAAGTGGAAAAGTGGCTAGAGGCAACTCCTTTAAAGAAATCCAAAGTGATGAGAAGCAGGGACAGGGTGTGATAGCTAAGAAGGCAGTGCAGTTAAGGACAATTTGTTTTGAGATGGAAGATACTGAAACGTATTTGTTTGTAAACTGCTAGGAATAAATTAGCAATACTTCCAATGAAGGGAGGAATGAAATCCCTCAAAAGATAAGAGGAGAGACACAGAACCAAGTGGGAGGCCAAGCTTTGATGAAAGCAGGGACACTTTATCCACAGCAAGTGGGGAGATGGCAAAAGATGGGGTGGCTTTGCAGATTTGGAATTAGGAAGATGAGGAGTCTCCTCTGATTTCTGTATTTTTCCAATGAAGGATGAAGCCAGATCATCAACTGAGAGAGGTGGGGGATGGTCTGGATTTGGGGGAGAAGAGAAGCAGGGTGAGGGGGACGGGACATCTGAAAGCACTGAGGACTTCTGAGCGGCAGTCTGTGACCAGCTGAGCTTCGTGGCTGTGGATTTGAAACTGAAAGTTAGTGTGGTTGGCCATGTGCTTCTCCCAGGAACTGGGGGATCTGGCCCAGGCACAGAAGGGCTGGGGCAGCGAGTGTAACAGTGTTGGGGCTTTACCAGAGGGGTGTGAGAGTGGGGAGGGATAGAGGTTCTCTACACGATTATAATTACAGCCCACAGGGATCTGGATACCAGGAAATGAGGGAGTGAAGAATGTTGAAAAATTGGAATTCTGACAGGCCTGTACCTCTGAACCTGTCATAGTGTCCCATGCCAGAGCAAACTGGCCAAACCAAACCATTGCCTGGCCTCTACCCATAGGCTGCTGGCAGTGAAGTGGGTCATACAATGGAAAAAACAAACAAACAAACAAAAAATAAGAATGTTGAAAAAGCAATAAGGCTGGAGGGGGAAAAAAACAAAATGACCCCAAGAATGTTGAAAAAATAATGAAGCTGATGGATCAAAGATGTCTGTGAGATCAGAGACTTACTGGGAAGAAGGCACTTGAATAAGCAAGCGGGAATCCTCTGGGAGCTGTTAACTCGAGGGATGTTCATGCCTCATTCTCAAAGATCCCAGTGAAGTTGGTTTGGATCAGAGTGTCAGTGCTGGTATAGTAAAGAGCTTTTCAGGTTCATGTAATACAGACACAGCCACGGTTAAAACCCACCATGTAACAAGACGATGGGCAGTCAGTGCACGCTGAGCACAGTGGTTAGTGGTTAGCTGAGAGGTGTGGGGCCATTGGACTCTCTGGGGTGGCTGGTGGCCTGCAGTGACTTGAAAATGAATGGGAGTTTCCTCCTCCATTCATTACCTAGTGTCCACAAGGGTAAATTTGATCCGACCACAGCAAATGCCAACTGGGATGGAAATCCTGGCCATTAACACGAACACATTTCCATTGTCACAAACGTTCCTCCAGCGGCTCTCGGCTTGCTGGGGTGTGGTGGCCTGGGAGGAGGAGGAGGATCTCTCCAGCATGCCAGGTTCTGCAAGGGTCCTCTCAAGGCATCTGGGTCACAGGTGTTCTGATGCTATTCACGGGGCCCTTCTCCCTGTTCATTATAGAGAAATAAATGATACCTCGGTGTATATGGAGCCACAGTGATGAACAAAAGCAGCAAATCAACTCCAAGTGCAAATTCCCTGTTAGTCTCTTCTATTTTGCAGCCTAAGAACATAATGAGGTGTCTCTTATGGCCTAATGAGAGAAAAATAATTTTCTTCATATCAACCAACAACAAAGTCCTAAAAATAATAGAGTGCCTTTGTGATACATAGCACTAGTTCCTGGTCTTGCTGAATCCTGCAGCAGGAATTTCTAGGCTGACCCCTGAGGTGATCAGAAGGCTGGTTTTTCAGGAGGCTGCAGGTGGATGGGTCCCTCAGGTAGGGAGATGAGAGAGAGGGAGATGAGCTCATAGGCTAGTCAGCACGGGGCCTCTTACCTGCGTGACTGCAACGTAAACAAGTGGCAGAAAACAGATGTGAAACCAAAGAGTAATAAAGGAAAAATGTCACGTAGTGTCCAGCTGTAGCCAGGTCTAAAATTTATGAGCACCAAGTGAGGTCAAACGTAGCCACAGAATTTACAGAAGTTTTTTGAGCAGGGCCTTACCAGCTCACCACCATCACTGTGCCAGCTGGGGGTGAGCAGCCCCTCCAGGAAAAACAAAAAAGACACTTGAAAAGAAAACGAGACTTTTAAAATGTCAAAGGATGCTTATTACTGGTTTTTATCTAGAATGGAATTTATCAAAAAGAGATGAAAATGATCAAACAATGTCCCAAAGGGTAAATTTGAATGTAACTGCAGTAAATATTCCCTGGGACAATAATCCTAACTGTTAACACGAGTACATTTCCATTGTTACAAACATTTGGTTTAACTTAATCCCCGGAATATATTACTGCCAAAAGGAATCTCATTGACAAGAGCTAATGCATTGGTTACTCTTAAAACTATCCCTTTTGAACTGCTGACTTACTGGGAAGTGTTCATCACGGAAAAGACTATTTTTATTACCACTGTCATCAAACTCAATGAAGTTGGGAGATATCTGCTTGTAGCCGCTGCAGCTCACTCCTCCTCTGGTCAGAGTCCACATGTGTGAACAAGAGAATGAACGTTCGGGTGATGCCATGTCTCCCTCGGATGACAGTGTGGCTGAGATTGGATCCGATGAGAGTGTTTGGCTGGGCTTCCAGTCCAGATTCTTTAGACTGAAGCCAACAGGCAAGAAAGCAAAAACAGAATGTACAGTGAACTCACTTTAAAAAGTTTTCATATGAACAGCTTTGCTTGGAAGTGCTGGAGGTCGGGGTGCTAGGTAGGGATTCTCCACCCGTTCCCTCCAGCCCCTCAGACACTCTCCAGACTCAGATTTGCAAGCTTCTATGTTTGTCTCAGACTGCAAAGGAAACACAAATTAGAAAGCATCAGTAAACTTTTTAAAATTGAGTACTTACATGAAATATGGTACAAAGACTTTTGGCCAATAAGAGATTGAGGAACGGTGGTGGGCTGTGTCCTGGTTTAGTCATTATGAACTTGACTAGGTCATCTCCTTTCTGGGCCTCTGTTTCCTAGTCAGTGAAAGGAGAGAGGTCTTCTGCATCCATGGTTTGCAAACAGGGCTCCTCAAGGCCCTTCAGGGAAGAAGCAGAGGGAGGATTTTACCAAAACACATTGTTTTAGGTATTGAAATGTTCTCTGAACAAAGATTTTTGTCATCAAAAAATTCACAAACTAATGGGGTGGTGTCTGTGGCTCAAAGGAGTGGGGCGTTGGCCCCATATACCAGAGGTGATGGGTTCAAACCCAGCCCTGGCCAAAAACTGCTAAAAACAAAAACGAAAACAAAAATTTCACAAACTATGTCAGATTAGATGCTCTTTAAAGTCTCTTTAAGAGTGAGTACTTTGCATTCACAACAGTGGTTTCAAAACATTTTGATCAGGCTCCCTAACCAGCAAAAACATTTTTGCCATGCATATCCAAAATATTCATAAATTAAATATGTAATTACTGTAAAATGTATTATATCTCTTATGAAATATTTCCCCCCAATAGAAATTTCAAAAGGGATATAAGTATGAAACTCTCAAGGTAAATCATAAATGTTATAATATTTCAAACCTTTAATTATCAATATTACTATGTTGATTACTTAACATTATTATTATTTTCTTGAGTCTCACTGTGTTGCCCTCAGTAGAGTGCTGGGGCATCACAGCTCCCAGCAACCTCTAACTCTTGGGCTTAAGTGATCCTCTTGCGTCAGCCTCCCAAGTAGCTGGAACTACAGGTGCCTGCTAAAATGCCCAGCTACTTTTCTGTTGCAGTTGTCATTGTTGCTTAGCTGGGCTGGGCTGGGTTTGAACCGGCCAGCTCCGGTGTATGTGGCCAGCACTGTAACCACTGTGCTATGGGTGCTGAGCCACTTAACATTATTAATGTTAACTTGTATTGGGCCAGGCACAGTGGCTCACACCTGCAACCCTAGCATTCTGGGAGGCTTGAGGTGGGAGGATGGCTTAAGGACAGGATTTGAGACCAGCCTGAGCAAGAGTAAGACCTCCATCTCTACAAAAAATAGAAAAATTAGCCGGTATGTTAGCTGGCGCCTATAGTCCCAGTAATTTGGGAGACTGAGGCAAGAGGATCACTTGAGCCCAAGTTTGAGGTTGCTGTGAGCTGTGATGCCAAGGCACTCTACCCAGGGTGACAAAGTGAGGCTCTGTCTCAAATAATAAATAAATAAATAAAAATAAAACAAAACAGCTTTTAGTGTAAGTGATACTATTTGATTATGTCATCTGGCTAATTGGTGGGTGTTTTTAACCTAACAGCACTGAACCTATTAATTTCCTGCTACCACTGGAAGGTATTAAAAGCATCTCCAATATTAATGGTACCTACTTTCTGTCAAAACTAAATAAACAGCTTAAACTTCCAGGATTTTCAGAGTGATTCACATAATCACATGGTAGTAGAATATGGTAAATTCAGTGTTCTTAATTTCAGGCAACCACTTTGTTTGGTTTAACCAGAAAGGATTTATTAAAAAATATCAGGCAGATCCCTGGGAGGACCAGAGAGCCAGGCCTGGATGGTTCACAGGGCACCTAGGAGAAAGCCCTCCCACAGCCCAGGCCTGGCCTGAAAAGACACCGTATTGTCTCTGCTCACTTCTTAGCATGAACTATGCTTGGAGCCAGAAACTCTACCATAGTTGGTCCAGGAGCTCCCGATGCCTCTGGGATCCAGGGCTCTCAGTGCCCCTGCCTCACATTGCTTATTCTGCTTCTGTAGCTGTGCAGGTGTGTCTGGGGTTAGACAATCTGGTAAGGCTCACTGCCATGGAAAGGGTGGCCTAGCCACGTGGCAGGCATTTGTGTGCTGTAGGCTAACACGTTCTGCTAAGGAGAAGGGTTACACTGGTAAGATGGCTGGAAGTGAAAACAAAGCTATTCCCCTTCAAGGAGGGGTCAGAGTCCAGGTCGCCAAGTCCAGGAAGGCAAAGCTTGGCTGGCAGCCCGGACTGAAACAGTCTTTGAGGGTCATGAACCAAGGATGGAGTCGGCAGCAAGGCTCTGGGCAGTGACTGAGCTCTGTTCTAGTGAATGGCTCTCCTGCTGTAGGGTAAGTCCAAGTTCAAGTGTCAGAGTCAATGTGAAGATGCAGAGACAAGGTCCAGCCACAGTGAAAGGGGGTGGCCCTGATGACTTGGAGGCCATGGTTCTCAGCCAACCAGGCTGGGTTCAGGTTTGGACCAGGACAGAGGGTCAGGAAGACTCTTAGAACAACACATACAGAAGCTGATGTTTACGTGGAGTGCACTTTTGTTCTAGACACGGGAGGTTTACGTGGAGTGCTCTTTCATTCTAGACACGGGAGGTTTACGTGGAGTGCACTTTCCACTTTCATTCTAGACACGGGAGGTTTACGTGGAGTGCACTTTCATTCTAGAC